AAAAAAAAAAAAAAATACAGAGTGAGGACAGTGGACGGAGATGGGTGGAGATGGGTGAATGGAGAAGAAATTACAAAGTTTTTATCAGATACGCGTCTGATGTTTTTGAATTATCTGTTTTTGTTGGGTTGATATTAATTAAAAAATTATTGTTGACCTTGACAGTTAGAACAGAAAAAAGAAATGAGTATCAGACAGATTTTTGTATCTTTTTTCTTCAGTAATCCGGGGTCGTTATTTTTAGAGGTTGAAAAAAAAAAAAAAGAATTTTTTTTTTTTCTCTTTTTATTTTTGTTTCACTTTCATTTATTGGTTTTTCGTTTGGTCGTTCAATCATTTATTTGTACTAAGAAAATTTGCAATCAAAAGATGAAAGTGATGACGAAGAGGGAAAATATCAGTGATACACACACACACACACACACACCAAAACAAACATAAAAATTTCAGTAGTTTTTAATTTTACGATTTGCAATTATGGAAGACAACTATGATGGAATCCAGAAAAATTGTAGGAGAAAATGGCAAAAAAAAAAAACTTTTGTTCTTGATTTTTGGAAATGTTATAATCTTGCTGTTTCAACTATTTCTGCTGCTTCTATAGAGGAAACTGTGATCATTGTTGCAGTGGACATTGGAAACGGGAATTCAGGGGAAGGAGAAAGAGGAGGAGGAGGAGGAGGAGGAGGTGAAGAAAGAATCTGTTGAATGGTTTTTTGGTTTTTATTATTTTATAAAAAACAATTCAATTTATTCGGTTGAGGAAGTACCTAAATTTTAATTTTTTTTCTTTTGGTTGTAGACAATTATATTCAAATATAGAATTTTGTCGGACATTACACGTTATCTTTAAGGAAGCTTAAAAACTTTATGAAAGGAAAAAACAATTTTTTTTGGCCTATTTTCTTTTTTTGTTCTTTTTTTCACAGTCGTTATCGTTGTTGTAAAATGATTGCTTAAAATGATAGTTTTTTCCAAATTGTAAATTTGGAACTGAAGAGCAATTTTTAGTACAGCTGAAAGCAATGAAGCTGCGCTTTTTTTTTTTTCGTCTTATTATTCTTATTTGTATGCGGAAAAAAAAAAAAAAAAGGAAAGGAGGAGAAGTAGAAAAGGATACAATCAGTGGAACGAAGATATGGCTTCTTGTTTAATTTTTTATTTTTTTGCTTTGGTCATTTTGTTAAGGTTTTTTACTTATGGAAAAATGAGGTAAGCGAAGAAAGGACAAAACATACGAAAGAGATTTATTCATTCTGTTAAGCAGAAGTTTTTTTTTTCTTGAAAAAAGTAAGAAACTATGAATTTAATTTTAACAGCTTGTCGTTTTTTTTTTTTTTTTTATAGCTGTCGTAATGGTTGACGTTGTTGAAACGGGAAACATTACAAAGCACATTTTGTTTAGTTTTTAACAACTATTGTTGTCAATTTTTTTATTTTCATCTTCGCATTTAAGTAGTCGAAAAATTTGTTTAGTTTACTGGTGAATTACATAGAATCAGAATTGGTGGAGTAAGAGGGGAATAACCAAAAAAAAAAAGAGCCACTGTAAAATATGACTACAGTGCTTACAGATACATATGGTTCTCAATAAGTCTTATGTAATTAATGAAACTGTTGGTTGTTTAAAATTAGTTTGTTTCTTTTTTGCTTTTTTTTATAGTGAAAAAATTTGGACGAAAAAAAAAGTTGCATCTACTATTTTTTTAGTAAAACATATACCGAAACAAAAGACGAGAGAAAGCTTTGAAAAAAAATATTTTTTTTCTTTTTTGGTTATAAACACATTTTAATTATCTGAAAACAGAATTAAACACATTTTAATTATCTGAAAACTGAAAACAGAACAAAACAAAAGTCATCGTTAGCAGTATTTTTCATTGTTAATATTCACTGTTCAATGCTTCTGTAATCTGTATCTTTTCGTTGTACAGTGATGATATTGGCTGAGGTATTGCAAACAAACGGTAGTTATATTGACTGCTGGGAAATTGGTGGTGAAATGAATCACTAAGAGGAAATCTATCAATAAAATTTGATAATTAGGAAAGGTTTGTTAATCGACAATCAAAAAATGCGGTCATTGAAACTAATAGAGCAAAATAAATATATGGTATTTGGTGTACAAAACATATTCTATTCTTATGGTTAATTTTATTTGAAGATGAATCAGTGAATGAATGAATGAATGAATGAATGAGTGAATGGAATGGGCAAAGAACAATTTTTTTTTATTGAACTAAGTATACTTTACAGTATCATTTTGTTTTATCAAATACGAGTTGAAATGATTGTCAAAGTTAAAACTGTATTTCTTGTTGATTGTACATTGCTAAGACAGTTTCCCTCTGTTTTCTTTTTCGTTCCTA